CTGTGGTACTTAATATTTTTGCTAGCTGCAGTGATAAACCACATTTATGGATCAAAAACTTGGGACAGAATCATTCCAATACAAATGCTGTATAAATAATTTGCTCATAGTAATCAAGTGCTTACAGTGTTAATATTAAGTCTTTTTATACATGACAACACATGGAAAAACATTTTAAAACTACAGCAATTCTTTTTTTAACTTAATTCTCCTGATACTTTGGCTGGTAGGACAGTAAAACATAATCTAATTGAGGCTTATGACAAACTGCCTAAAAGGACCAACGAGATGCAACAGTGAAACTTCCTCAGACTACCTCATGTGATGTACTGAAACAATGAGAAACGGTCATGGCTACTGATGGAGACATTAAATGAACGAGGAAGGGAAAAGCACCTACGGTTGAAGCTGTCCTCATCATGTGGATTGATAATGCCGGGTCACTTAATGCCTCCATGTGATGCCCCCCATAACTGTATATTCATGTAATAAATATATAAATGTCAGTTAGATGGTAATCTGCATGAGGATTAAAGAAAAAGAAAGCAAATGTAGTTATAATAATCATCTGCTTATAGTGGTCAACTGGACTTGGACAGATGTGATCAGTATAAAAGGTTTCTCCTCAGAGTTGCAAATTGTAAGCACTTCCCTTATTCCATGGTTACATTAACGATCAATTAATTAAAGCTCACAGCAAAATACTGCATATTCACTGATAGAATTTCATAGCCTATGAAACATAAAAAGTATGTACAGCCCTAGAAATATACAACACATTGAATATAACTTAATAATGCCTTGATGTGTCTGCTTTATTTTCCATTGTCACCGCAGCACTCTTCTTCCAGACCCCAAGATGGCCGCCTTGTCATAAAATAGTTACATTGCGGCCATTTTTTTGCTAATGCTAGTCATTGAAATGTACTTTCTAAACACACCATTCTTCTGATATAATAGGAGACTACACATTGTTTATAGTAAAAATCAGACCTCTATTTGAATGATTAAATTTCATCATGTTCAATCAAATCGTTAACAAACGATCAATTGATTGTCGCTTAATCGTTATCATCCCTGATTCCACTGTATTAGATATTTTACTTTATTATTATTTTACATATAAAACATAGGATGAGCTCATCTAATAATATAATATATAATTGTGTAAAAATGACAGGGACTATTTTTCTGCATCAAGTAATTTTACTTTTAATAAAGGGTCAGTTCACCCTAAAATTACTTGTAGTGCTATTTATCAGTCTAGATTGTTCTGGTGTGAGTTGCTGAGTGTTGGAGATATCAGCCGTAGAGATGTCTGCCTTCTCTTGAATATAATGGAACTAGATGGCACTCAGCTTGTGATGCTCAAAACGCCAAAAAGTACATTTAAAAAACTCAGTGTCTCTTTCCAGAAATCATGACCTGGTTACTCAAAGTAATCCACAGACCTTGTTGTGAGCAGATTTTGTAGAAACTATTTTCTTTCCACTTAACTACACCAACCGTCCCTGCTACCACTACCCCTAATAGTCAGACCTTTGAAAATGCTGCTGATTCCATTTTAGTTTGAACACTGCAGGGTTGCATTTTGGTCTGGACGGGTAGAAACGTACCCTTTTAAAAATGATGACACAGACATCCTCGTTTGATTCCTGATTCAGTCAGTCACAGCTTGTCAAGTCAAAACATTATTGCCAGGCCTACATACCTTTTGTGATATCATCCTCCTTGTGAGGGTACTCAAGTAATATTGCCTCAGCTTCCTCTGGTAATGGATAATGTGTCCTGCCAGCACCCCTCTAATAAGTCACTATATCTACTTTAGTTTCACTTCTTCCTCAGTCCAGCAGAGAGCTCTCTGGTCTTACTTTTCCCCATCTCTGTAGTATTTTCTATAATTAAGCAACAAAACCACAGAGTAGACAATCTGCTTTATGTTTACACCTCTGCATTCTAGGGTTGGGTACCGAAACTCGGTACTTTTTGTACTTGGTACCGATTTGTACTACTGAGTACCGATTCACTTAAAATTAATCGGTGCCAAATTTCGGTACCTGAGGTGGAGGCGGAGCAAGAGTGCATGACTCGCACCTCGGACTCAGCAACAATGGCGACAAAAAAAATGTGCAGACAAAAGTTAACGTGCAGCAGTGTTCGTAAATGTTCTCAATAAAATGTTGAAACTGAGAAGTTTACACTATGGGCCCGAACGACGCATAGTGCGTCCAAATTCACACGCGTTCTTCTCTGTGGATTTTCTCCAGGACCGTGCGTCATAGCGAGAAGCCACGCATATCAGCGGAAACAGCAGAACTGTAGCTTTCCACCAAGGCCAAGCACTTGTCCGTAATCTGAAAAAAATTGATAAAGTTACAATAAAATGATGTTTAACAGAGCTTTCATACAGCTCTGCACACACATTACTGTTGGATGGATTACTCACGAATGCAGGGTCGCACAGAAATGCCACGCATATCTCATGAAAGCACAGGACCACACACATCATTGTGCTGTCATCCCATCACGCTATAAATACAGATCAATTGTCTACCAAATAAAAACCTGACAAATTTCTTTACAATCCATGATACAGATCTTGTTATCAGTCACTTCATATAGTGAGGAATATTGTATCTTACCACGTCTCAGGCTTGCGTGTGTTTCTCCCTGTCTATCCACATTTGTAGTCCGGCTTTCAAGATGCAAATATCTCCATATTGTCCAGTTGACACTCCATCAAACTTTGTATGACAAGACCAGTGCACTTCACCTTTGCGCACACAGACAACTGAGGCCTAATTATGCATGCTGACAGGGCCGTAGTCACCATATACATTGAGGAGGACACGTGCCCCCCCACCAATACCCAAAATGTTTCCCCAATATAAAACTGAAACTGAAAAACAAATATTATCTTGGAGGACATCATTGCACTTGGTTGACTATTTTTCTGTTATCTTAGATGTAAATATTGCATGTTTCTTTCAGATAAAACACATTTTTGACTTGTGAATGAGTCAATGGAATTTCTTGCAATAATGAAAAAATACTGGCAATTATGTCCGCCTGGCACAAACCACATGTTTTGGACAGCTGGGAAGTGACAGAATGTCCCAGCATCATGGTTCTTATATTGCCAGATTCCAGAGAGTCTCCCCTCTTCATATATGGCAGAATATGTCATTTTCCAACTTGCTATGGTGAGATACATGCAAAAATGTGAGAATTTAGGCACACAGATTTGTTTTTTTCATTGATATAAAAATTAATGTAAAATACAGGCACATAGAAGGACATGGAATGATGGCAAATCTGGTTAGCCCAGATTGTCCTGAAAAAAACAAGATATAGCATGTGTATGTAGCCTTTATAATGACTGTGATATGAGCTTAAAAGTAAAGGCAGTAAAAATACCCCAAAAAGGCCTAGGGCCCATAGGGTTAAAAAGTACCGAAATAAGGTACCGTTTGGTACCGGTACCGAATTCCAGATACCGGTACCGTATCGGTTCAATTATGAACGGTACCCAACCCTAGTGCATGCCCAGTGTACGTAAATGGTCATGTGATATATGTTTTGAGACGTGTTAGTATGGATGGAGATTATTCTGAAACAATGCTAAAATGCTCATGTGTAGGGGATTGTATAAGGGTGGATGTGGCCTGAGCTAGCTAATGTTCCAGCTCAGCTAAGAGGAACACCATTTATGTCTACAGCTCACACTGTCATTAGCACTAGAGAGAAAATAGTTCCTACATGAAACTGCTCACAACAAGGTCTGTGGATTAGCTCTAGTAACCAGGTCATGATTTCTGGAAAGAAACATTACTGTTGAGTTTCTCAAATGAAGATTTTTGCTGCTCTGAGTACCACAAGCCGAGTGCCATCTAGTTCCATTATATTGGAGAGAAGGCAGACATCTCTAGGGCTGATATCTCCAACACTCTGCAACTCACACCAAATCAACCTAGACTGATTAAATGCACAACAGGTAAGAGGAAAAATATGTTTTATTGATTTGGGGTTGAACTGTCCCTTTAAGTACATTTTGCTGATAATTCTTGCGTACCTTTGCTTGTTACTTACAGTAAGTAAAGGATCTGAATACTTCCACCATCACTAACAGTATTTTGCACATTTTAAAATGAATGCAAGTAAAAAAAAAAGGTCTCTGTTCTCCATCTAATCCTATTTTAGCTCTCCCCTGAACAAAACAAATGCCTATGCTGCAGTCACAGTCACATACTTATTATATTACTTATTGTATATATGTGCATAAATATATATACACATATATTAGGGATGTTTTTTCTCTCTCTGTAAAGTATCTTATTTGTTGACTGATAACGACCAGGTGGGGATTCAGACGGATTGGAACAGGACGGTGAGAGTCGAGCATGTGTTTTCACTCTGCAGCTTTATCTCTTGTAATGTCAGCAAGGTTTATCTGACGTCTGCTGTGCCTCTGTGGAAAAATCCAAAGCTGGCTCAAACACTCCACCTGTCAGTTCACATTGCTGTAAAAAAAATGACTCGTTAATGCTATGAAATGAAAAATAAAGTCTCATTAATGACTCAAAGCAATTAGCTTGTAGAAAGGAGAAACACCTTTGAATGACGGCCAGTTAAATTTCTATATTTCTGTTTTGCTCGTGGATTCCAGTGTAACATGCTTTAATGATGAACATTTTTAGAAAGTGGTTGCACATCTCTCATGAATTATCCAGTACGCTGTCTTCCGGGACTTCATTAGTGCTTTAGTTCACCAGACTTTACCGTACATAGCTCTGCTCCGTACACAAGCTTGATTCTTGATGTTTAGTTTTACAAATTGTACTTGATTATCTGGATGAGTGCAATGCAGCTTAGTTGTTGCAATAAGGTGAGCTTTCTACGTCAAGGCACACCCCTGATTGATGTATCGTTACATTGTTTTCAGAGTTGCCCCGTCTGTCTGCTCTCACACTCACCTTCCCTTCCTCCTCTCTCCTCCTCAGGGGCGCTGCACCCGTGAGAACTGTAAATACCTGCATCCACCGCCGCACCTGAAAACCCAGCTGGAGATTAACGGGAGGAACAACCTGATCCAGCAGAAGGCCGCCGCGGCCATGTTGGCTCAACAGATGCAGTTCATGCTGCCCGGAGCACAGTTGCAGCCCATAGTGAGCAGCCTACACTAAAACTACGACTCTTTAATCAATACATTGTGTTTGAAAATGTTAAAACACTAACTGCACTCTGTATACTGTGAGTGATGTTTTAACCTGCAGCAGAGTGGCAGTTATTTTATGATAATAGAATAATATTTGACTCTCTGTTGGAGCTGGCATCAAGTTGCAGTTAAATTTCTTCTATCTTCTGTCCTCTGAGTAGAGCTTGTCGATATGGAGAAAGTCAAATATCAATATTTAGTTATATATAGTTTCATATCACAGTGTCAGATTCAGATTCAGACAATTTTATCAATCCCACCAGGGGCAATTTGTTTCAACAGCTTGCCTTGCACTCATGCTATAGCATATGGTAAAATGTAGACACATAAATAGATGAGCAATAAATGAAAATAAAAAATATGCCAAGGAGTTCAGTGGAATAAAGAAATCTTTAATTAATTTAAAATCATTAATAGACTGATTATCAATAAAAGAGATTAAAAACAATTTTAAAAAATACAGAGAATTGTTGACCAGTCCTACCTTTAATAAAGATCAAAAGGGAAATAAAGAAGTCTATTTAAATATATTTAAACTCTCCCTGCCCATTTACTGTCAGAACTATGTGCAGAAATTACTGCCAAATATAACAAATTGGGTGAAGAATCACACTTTGGAGAATGAGGTAGTGGTGTGCTCGAGGACTGTCTTACCAAATGAGACCCAAGAAAAAACGGAGGTGCTCTTGAAGAAAAGGGTCAGTACATGGAGAGAAAAAATGAACTTCATGCACTCATGCGTGGAGCAGAAACAAATGCATTGGAATTCAGTTAAAAAATCCTTTATTCGGGGCGACATTGGCTTAGTGGATAGAGCAGGCGCCCCATGTACTGTACAAAGCTGTTGCCGCAGCAGCCCGGGTTCAACTCCAGCCTGTGGCCCTTTACTGCATGTCATCCCCTCTCTCTCCCCCCCCTTTCACACTTGTCTGTCCTATTGATTAAAGGCTAAAATGCCCCAAAAAATATCTTAAAAAAAAAACAAACAAAAAAAACCTTTATTCAAAAAATATGGCTGCTTGCATTAAAACAGATTGGTTTCGATCCTAAGGTCTTAATCAGGGTGCAAGACATTTCGTCCCGTAACTTATCAGGTGCTTTTAAATGATGTTAAATATTTCAGATGAATTTTTATTAAATGACACATTAGTGTCACGTTAGTTTTGATATATTATAATTTGTTTTGTCTTAAGTCAATGCATCCTCATACAAGGGTTTGTTTGATATCTTACATAAATGCACATGCAACAGTTTGTATGATATCTAATGAATTAGCAACCCACAAAATGACGTTACATACTTAACGTAAAGTTACGTAGGTTAGGTTCAGGAAAAGAAACATGTTGACAGTTTACTCTAAAATAACTTTAAGTTCAATTGGTTTCACACAGGGCACAGGCACCAGTCTTCTTGGGGACATTCCTGTGTTGTTTAATCCATCCACCGCCCCAGCCTGTGTCCTGAGGCAGACTTTCGCTTTTTATATTACTGCCTTCTTCACTCCTGTCAGCACATTGGTCATGTGATCGCAACCTTTCCAATGATGTGGCAAATATACTAACTACTGACTCATGATTACTTTTCATAGGTATACATACGAACAGTGCAAGAGAACAGCCTGCTTTGGTTAAAACTTTTACTTAAAATAGATTATGAAGCAGAGAAGTTTTGCAGTGAATAAAGATTTGTCTTATTCAACTTAATAAAAGGGAATGTGAAATTTGCTGAATCATAAGTGACAAAGTCCAAAATCTTACATATATTATTCATACAGAGGTTTTTTAATGTTGAAAGCAGTAGTGGCATAGCAGTGAAACCCACAGTACTGGTTATGTTACCTCCAAATCCGTTTCCTGATGCCAGAGAAAGCTCTGCCATAACTTGTTTTGCCTCTCTCGTCTCTGCCCTTCTCTCCCTGCCTCAGACAACATTCCCAGTGACGCCCTCCCTGGCAACGAGTCCCAGTATGGCGTTCAGTCCATATCTAAGCCACATGGGCCCAGGCATGGGCTTGATGCCTGAGCTGCTGCCCAGTACTCCCCTGCTGGTCCCTGGGAGTCCCACCGGCCTAGCAGCCATGGGCAACGGCACCTCCGCACAAAAACATGTGCGCACAGACAAGCTGGAGGTATGCAGCCTGCGCGCAGTTGTTGTGTTTCTATGTTTGGCCCAAGTATGATGAAAGGTAAATGTTGACCTGTGCCCCCGCTGGCCCTCCCAGGTCTGTCGAGAATTCCAGCGCGGTAACTGCACGCGGGGCGAGAGCGACTGCCGCTATGCTCACCCTCTGGAGGCCGGCATGGTGGACTGCAGCGAAAACTCCGTCATTGTGTGCATGGACTACATTAAGGGCCGCTGCAGCCGAGACAAGTGCAAGTACTTCCATCCCCCGGCTCACCTGCAGGCCAGGATCAAGGCTGCACAGCACCAAGCCAGTCACAACACAGCGTCCGCAGGCCTGGTGAGTCCAAACACTGAGAACTCTTTGTTCTTTTCACCAAAAATAAACACAGGATGCTTCTCTATGATACACACACAGGTGTAAGCCAATACTCCCCTCCTTAAAGTTATAAATCAACATTCACCATATCACCTCAACGCGGCAGAAAAACAGTAGAAGATTTTTTTGTTCTTTACTTGGATGTTGTTTACTGGTGCAATGAAGGATCAGGGTATCACAGTATCCCTCAGCCAGCTTGAAATTTGATAATGTAGTCTAGGGATTATGTTTTTTCATGAATGTCTGCTACTGTACATGTGTCTGAGTCTGTACTCTCAGCTACAGGGGCTAAAGTTAGCATTGAGAGCAGCTGTAACATAATCAGGTCAATCTGCAGTGCTGATGCAGAAAAACAAGAAAGGCAGTATCAGAAAAAGATGCAAAAATAGTATAATTAGAAACACAAGTATCCAAGTTTATACATCCTGGCATTCATTTAGTTTTTTTTTTTTGCTGTTTCTATTCATATATTTAATCTTAAATTAATCAGGAAAATTAAAAACATTCACTTTTGAAATGACAGCTTGGCACCACGTCCTAAAATGTTATATATAAGTGTGTTTTCATGTTATAATTGAATCTCCCTACTGTGAGTCAAAAGTTCTCGTGGTTATCATCCACTGCAGTTTGATGTTTTAGCACTGGCCCCATTAGTGAATGAAATCATACCAATCCCATTTTGCTCTTGGCCTGACCTCTGGGCTGTCCTACATCACTTCAGCTAATCTGAGATACTGCAGTGTCCTCTTGTGGCGGTAAACAGAAATATCCACGGCGACTGGATGTTGACTCTAAGGCTGAATCCAAATGTCCAGATTTCAATGCACTGGTAGACTCGCAGACTTTGCGGGCGTGTTCCCGTCAAGTCTGGGAGTACCACAATTCATCCAGTCCACAAGGGGCCTCAAGCAGACAATCTGCAGACTTCGAGGGTTAGAGTTCACGGTGCAATATTATGACAATGTTATGCATAGTACATCCTTTGTAAGGGCAGCTACAGTACGTACCAATAGCAAAAATAAAAAGTATGCGATTCAGAATACAGGGTTATACTGAGTTAATGCCAGATAGTAGATAACTTCTCTTCTCCTGGCCAGGCTCTGGGTCCTGGTGCCATGCAGCAGCTACCAAAGAGGCCAATCTTAGAGAAGAGCAACGGAGCAGCTGCCGCCGTCTTTAACCCCAGCATGTTCCACTACCAGCAAGCCCTGGCTAACATGCAGCTCCAGCAGCCAGCCTTCATCCCCACTGGTGAGTCTCCACACACACTGAATACACACAGGTATCACACATGTACACTGGAATCATGGCACTTGGTTCTGGGCAGACAGTGCACGGGTTATGACTTGAGGTGATGAGGTAATATTGCAGGATACAGAGAGTTACAGGTGTAGTTGCAACGGAATGCATGCTGTGTTACTGCTTGCTATTATTCCTTCGATCATGCTGCCTGTTGTGTTGCTTGCATTTGCTTCACTCTGGCTCGACGTGTGATGAGTTGTTGGAGCCATAACCAAAGTTACATTACAGTACGCAGTCCAAACAAACAAGTAATACACACGTCAGAGTCGAGCCATGTGGGACTGTTTGTCAGTGCTGTAATGTTAGTAAGAACATTTACTCAAGGACTATACTTGATACTATACTATACTGTACTTACGCATTTTCTGATGCCCACTACCGCAGACACAGAAAGTAAAGAGGTGTATCGAGAGAGACCTGCCCCTCTCTGTCTCACTCTTGCAAACGTAGACCAAACTCCAAACTGTAAAAGAAATATGAAGATTCAGTTACAGAGTTGCTTTTTGCTGCAAAGTGAGCACTTTTGACATTCACACTACTCTCGGGTACCAACAGCTGCGGACGTGACGTAGCAGCACAGAGGAGGAGGAGAAACTTTGCCCCGTAAGGCTCTAATATAACATAACCTTCTCTCTTCTTCTTGGACGTGGTGAATTTACAGCTTTCTTAATACAGCACTGTCTCTGGCTTTTGTTTGATATCTAGTGATGGCAAAAAATGTTGTTGCACATTTCTGGTCCGTCATTAGTGCCCTTAGCTTGTTTACTATAATACAAGAATGGATGTAGCAGACATCCCATGTGCAGGGGCAGTGCCCTTGTGGGTTCAGCTCTGTGTGTTGTCCTTTCTCTCTCATCCCATTTCCCTCTTAATCTGATCCATTAAATAAAGGCATAAAAGTAAAAAAAAAATCTTTATAGAAATACATATTTTTCTAAAGCCTAACATCACTAATCACAATTTGCCTTTAGAGGACTTAACAGCACACAACATCCCTCTGTCCTTGGACCCTCAAAGGTGATAAGGAAAAACTCCCCTAAAAATCCTTTATGGGGTAAAAAAAAAAAAAAAATGGATATCTGGTGGTTGTTACTGAAAGGGGAACTCTGGTATTTTTTGAAACTGGACCTGATTTTCCCATGTTTTTGTGTCTAAGTGACTCATAGGAAAAACAATGTTTGAAATTGGTCCAGCATTGAGCAAAACGGCTGCAGCAAAACAAACTACAATGGAACCACTTGAAGCATGTGCACCTCTTTAATGTACGTTCTCTTGAAGTGCTTGTTTTTACCACTGACAGGTTCAGGTCCTTATCCTGAGTGTCTAACAACATTATGGAAAGGACTCTACAGAGAACTGAAATATTTTTCTATACCTTTCATTTTTTATGGTCCGCTTTGTGTCTAAGTCTCATAACGAGAGGTCTCATCATGAAATTTCACAAGAGGTGACTTCCAGCAGTAAGAAAATGGTGGAGCCTCCAGTGTGAGTTGAAGAGAGGATTGCTGGTATTAGTTTGTTGTGGCAAAGTACTCTTCTAAGAGATTTTCAAGTCATGGCTGAATGTTAAGCTGATTTCGACAAAGTGAAAATGACTTCTCCTGAAGCGAGACTTGGTCACAAAACAGACCAGAACAAGGAAAAGGTATGGATTAACGTTTCATTTCTCTGTCAGACACTCCTAACAACTATCTCAGCCTGTCGGTGGCAGTAACAAGCACTTTTAGAGGACGTACACTGAAGGTGCACACTTCACCTGAGTGGTTACTTATTAGCCTGTTTCACCGCTGCTGGCTGCAGCGCTCTCGCTCAATACTGGAACAATTTAAAAAATTGTTGTTCCCATGAGTCACTCAGACACAAGATCATAGAAAAATAGGGTCCAGGTTAAAAAATACCGGAGTTTCCCTTTAACCATCAGCAGAGACTCGTCTACACAAACAAACATTACATCATAGTGTAAGACAAATACATGAAACTGATTAGTCATTTGATATAGAATTCATTTCCAACAATTATTAAATTCCCTTAATTATTAAACTTATTTATCGAACAAAAATACCAAATATTTGCTGGCTCTAGCCTCAAAAATGTGAAGATATGCTGCCTTTTCTGTTTTATATACTAATAAGTGTGATTGAAGAAAAGAGATATAAACAGACATGAGAATGCATTTTATTGACGTGTTTGGCACATAGTGATACCAGGGACGTCAGCAGGTATCAGCACTGAAGAGACATTTTTCATGTCATGTTAGCTGTGAAGAAACAGTGAGTCGTGAAATGCTCGAAGGCTGTCAGACATGAATAATTGATATACCACATTCCTAAATTATACAACATAGAGGCCAAAACACCCACATACTGTACTACCTGGTCTGTGCGCACTGAATAATACTTCTGCATTCATTTGTCATACATAGCTTCTATCTTGGATACATCTCTCCTACACCATACTGATACTGATCAAAGCCTCAGTGTCTGCTCATCAGCTGAAAGCAGTTTGCTTTTCACTGATCAGCTTGTTTGTGTGTCTTTGTGTGTTGGTTCACGTCTGTGCACTAACTGCGACACTGTCGACTGCGCTAACCTGAACCCGTCGACTTGGCTCAACCTGCTGTTGATGATTACCCCTTTTTCTTTACCTCAACTCGTTGTCTTTGTCTTTGACTCTTCGTCTGCTCTCATCCATCTCTTGTTTTGTGTCTTCACATAATGTGACAGGCTCTGTTGTGTACACGATGCTGCCCTCAGGAGACATTGGTAGGTCAACTGTATCATAGCTGGAGATCAGTAACTTCACTGTGTGTGGCAGTGGACAGGAGTCTGTAATACATGACTGAATGATTAACTGCAACATGACCGTACTCTTTAGCATGTTGTCAACCAGTGAAAGATATAATATGTGACTTCTCCTCATTAAAATATCAAAAAACGATTGGACCAATGTTTTTTTTTTTTTTTTTTTTTTGAGTTGTGTTCTTACATCATCCCAAATGTTTCCAACAATGTTCAAACCCAGAGAAATCTTTCATTTTAAACAAGGATAAGGTCCTTGTTATTTGGTCACCGTCACCTGTCAATGGCGTCATTTTCTCTTTGCACATGAATCAGTGTTGTAGTTGTCTGCTTGGGGCTGTCATAAATGGCCTTTCAATTGAAACAATTTTGTAGATCTTAGTCGTCTTAGGGCTGCAAAGGTATGAGATTTTCACAATAGGATAACCATCATAACCGTCTCAGAAAATGCCATGGTTTCATGGTATCACGTTATTAAAGAATTTCTCTTCTCATCAGTCAGAATGACCCTTAAATGAATGAAAACGTAAGGCTTATTGATGGTTAAACAAACGTTTTATAACTGGGTATAAAGTCTCCCTTAGAAAATAACTGAAATAAAGGGGAGATTCAACGTCCAGTTGGGTTTTTTTTTTCTTTAATATCACAGATAAGTAAATGCACATGGTACAATAACTGTCAACTTATACATTATACCTTGAAATTGGTATATCGCTGCAAACCCTAGTTGTTTTTAACGATATGTTTTAACCAGATGAAGGATTTTAGTCATTTGATTAGTCGTCTGGATCTTAAGTTATCAGAGAAACAAGTTGAACAAACATTGTCAGCAGCTCGGATCCAGCCCTTGCTGTGCCAAACAGGTTCAGAAAAACACTGATTTTTAATGTGAAACTGCTTCATTCAGTGTTTTTACCAGTTTAAATTACCTGGTCCATTTTTTTTTTTTTTTTGGAGAGGAGACCTCTGCAAATAACTCAGCTCCCAGTAAGAAACTCCTGAACAATGAACACTGAAGGAATCCTAAACTGACGGCATTGCTCTGTCTGTTGTCATTGTTTTGATTAAGAGACCCCTACAGGCTGTACATTTAAACACAAAGCATGCAGCATGTTTTACAGTGCTGCCAACAACCTCCCAAAGCCATATTAGATTATGATTTCAAAGCACTTTTTTAAATTCATACCTGTACAGTATAAATAACTTAAAGACGTTCTCTGTGGTAGGTAATGCAATTCAGTTATTCTTTAGTTTCCCTGTTTTGTTAAACAACAGTTGATTTTTTTTTTAGTATTTGTTTGAAATTCTAATCTTTTGTGAGAAAGTAGACAGAAAATATGCCTGGCCAAAGGTAAACAGGGGATGTTGCAATTACATGGACAGTGCCTTAAACTCCTTGATCACCAGGGCCCTGAAAAGAACAGATAATGTTTTAAAAACTCTCTTTTTTAGAACAGTAACGTCACTGTGATGGAGAGTAAAGGGGACTAAATGTTATTGTGATGGAGCTCTACTCTCCAACAAGCTCCAAGTTCCTATAGTTGGATTTTGACGTCATCCTGTACTGGACAGTAATCGGTAGAAGTTCAGCAGTAACGTTCAGTAAATTAAAATTGCAGTTAATGAGCTCAAACTGTGATGATCCCTCAAGGTTGTTATTATAGAGGCACGTACCGCACATTATTGTGTCAGCTACTGAAGACCATATGATAGGTCTCAGCCTGTCGTCTTTGTCATTGCATCATGTCTGTGTGTCATCATGTCTGCCTGTCTGCCTGTCTGCAGTCACATTAACGTCCTGTTTGAGTCATGCTTTGTGTAAGCAGTCATCCATCATTTTTTCTGTGCGAGCATGCCTGGTGTGTGTTCATGTCTGCATGCATGTGTGTATGCTGTATGAAAACCCTCAGTGCCTGAACCCAACCTGCACCAGCCCCCTTAAACCTCCCAGAAATTGAACTCTTATTTGAGCCAAGTATAGAGAAGTGTTTCCCAGTTTTATGGTGGCTGTGCAATGAAATTTTTCAGAAAACTGATACTGAAAATATCAGAATAAATTGTAGGTTAATCATAGAAAACAGAATGATCGTCACTGCAGCTACGTTTTTAACAATTTACTTAGGTTACATCTTTATTTCAGTTTATTCAGTA